GATAGACCATGTATGTATTGCTGTAGATGTTTTTTTTTGTTTGTTTGTTTTTAATTCTCTACCTATTAATCTAAATCCTGAGCTTCTAATGTAGACTGTAGCATCATGTAGAGGAAATATATACTAGAACATGATTATAAAACCAAAACAAGATACAAGAAAATTCTATAGTTTTAAAAAAAGAAAGAAATCTATCAGGAAAACTCAGTGATATGCTGGGAAAAAAGAATAGAATTTGGAATTCCAAGTTTCTTGCAGGCTAGTCCAGTAATCCATGCTGTAGACCATCACCATCAATTTGCTCATCTGTATAATGGGTATAATTTTCACTATTGAGTACTAAATAAGATAATGCATGTTCATAGGACTTTGTAGAAGTCTATAAGAGTTACTTATTTCCTTTTCTATTTGAGTAGTAGTTTAAAAAGCAGTTAATCGACAGGGAAGATAAGTTATTGCAATTCTTTGGTAATCCTAAAATTTTATGCTCCCTATGCTACTCATCTAGCAAGTACTACGATCTTTGAACGGCATTTTATATATCTTCATTTTAAGAAATTCCCAAAATGTTGGCTAAAATTATGCCTGCAGAGAGTTCTACTTACCTAACTACCTTTTTCTAGATACTCCTGCATAATCAAAATTACCTTATAAACTCCTTTCTAGCTGTGTTACTTACCAGGTAGGGTGCCAGGGCAAGTGTTTTATGCCTCCATTTCCAGGTTTGCAAAATGAGAAAGTAACTACATTAGTCCCATTAAGTTGTCATAAGGGTTAAAGGAAATAACTCGTAGAAAGTGCTTAGACCAGTGTCTGGCACGTGGTAAATACTCAATGGGTGTTAGCTATAAACCATGCTATTATTATTACTGCCATGACTATATTCCGGTCCTTCTAAAATAATGTTTTTAGGAATTTTCTTTGATGTTTGGTGAGTAGGTGATTGTACCCTACTGGTCTATCTTAAGAGTAATACTTTTTCCACATTGCTATCATGGCACTAGGTTGTAGCCACTCTTACAGAACGTTGATTCATTCTTCCTTACACAGTGACTATGTATGTATTTTTCTTTCTTAGAATTTGTAGTCCTTGAGGGTAGGGATGTGACTGCCTTCTTTCTGGCCCTTCAGGCACCTACTTTTTTGCTCTGTATGCGGTAAGGGTTCAAACCTGCTCATTGGATGAGTATTAAGTGAGTGAAATAATGATTGAATATGGGGGTTTCAAATGACCTAATTGCTCTGCTGAACAGCAGTACAGAATGATGGCCCAGGCCAGTGACTGGAGGTGCTAGTATGATTCTGCATGTCCTTTTTCAAAGTAAGGGACCAAGAGAAGGAAAAGGAAAGCAGATAGTGAAAGAGATCTAAACTATCTTTCAATAAACATTCTGCAATCCTTTAGTGGCCTGGCGCTCACTTACATGCTAGAGAATGGGAATCACATATCAATAGTGGAACGAGTCCAGAGGAAAAGTCCCTCAGAACCAGTTTAGTTCATGTGCTTGTTTTTAGTAGGTAAGTTTGTCTAGTGTGGGGAAAACCAGGGGCCAATAGATTTTCTTGGAGGGAAGCCAACAACAACAGCAACACCCAGTCAGTTGCCAGGAAATGAATTCCGGTTTTCCCCTCTCAGGAAAGTTTGCTCATATTGTCAGTTATGTCCCTTATTTTCTCAATTATCTGCCAAAGGCAGTAACAGCCCATGGCCTCCCCCGCCTCCCACCTTGCTCTTCCAGCAGAGTCCCCACCCTCTCCTTCTGAGTCTCTGTGTGGCTTCTTTCCAGCTATGCAGTCTGGACCTCTAGCCTAGTGTTCTTGACCTTGCTTAACTCCTGTTTCTTTTTGATAAATCAGAATGTCACTTCTTCCAAGGACACTCTGACATTCTGTCCTTGGGAACTGTTCCCATCTCCACCCCTCCAGTTGCACATCTATATGGTCAAGAAGACTTAGTTTTACTTGCTATACCTAAGTCTTGCTATTACAAAATAAAGACTTTCTTAAATGTGAAATAACAGAATACTGAATATACTTTTAAAAATCGCCTAGTTTCCCCTTTGCCCACCCCCACCTCCTAAGAATCACTGCTCTCACCATAAACTCATCAATAACGGACTCAATGAATTGCTTGTAAAAAAGCAGAAGGCGAGAACATCCTCCCAATGAGCACAGAGTTACCCTTACCCTTGGGTGCTCTTTGTAAAAAAATTCTTTGCCTCCCAGGGAGAGCTGGGGCTTGCTTTGGAAGGAAAGGAAGGACCTTTCTCTTGGACAGTCAGTGCTCTCCAACATTTTATCCAATGCATGTCTCATGCATTTGTTCCCCTAACTCTCACTGTGCACCACAGTGTGCTGGAGTCCATGTCACAGGCTGAGGACCAGGGGTGGAGAGGACACAAGCCCTGCTATTGAGGAACTTGGGAGCTTTAGGAAGGCCTCCAGCCAAGTGCCTCCCACTGCTGCATGTTGGCTTTAGTACTTTTCTTCCTTCCCTTGAAGGATAATTGAGGAATAACCATTCATATAAATCCAATTGAAATAAGTGAATTTATTTTTAGAATATCCTTCCAGTCACATCTCCAACCTCTCAGGAACAACATATTAGATGTGTCCATGTTCTCGTTCTCTCTCTGTAGATATAAATACAGTCTCCTGAACCAATCCAGTAGGGTGGTTGTACCGTGTCGTTAAATCTCCGGAATGTATTTGGCTTAAAGTCTCCATACTGGCTATAAAGAGCATGGGAAACCCGACGGTGGGGGCGTTGGGATCCTGGGGGACTGCATGCAGGCTAACTGGAGGCGTTATGTGAAACTATGCAGTGGGAACGTAATGATTCTAATCCCACCCTTTCTACATCATATATTTTGACCCTCCTGGAATGACTAATCATTTCTGTCTGTTTCCCCTAAACCAAAGGCTCTGGTATCCTGAACCTATGAGACCAACAGTATTACAAATTTAACTCACTATAGAGTGTTCTTTTTGGCTGGAAGAATATAGACAGAGATATAGCAATATTAAACAAAACAGCACCGTAAAAAAAATTCTAAGAACTATTCCCAGATAAGTGTTTCTTTTTATCCAATCATCCATGTATTTTATAATAATAACAACAACACTTAGGATATATAAAGCATTTATACTATGTCAGGCACTGCGTTAAGCACTCTATATATTTTATCTGGTTTCATCACGATAACTGAATGTGAAGTAGAAATCAATAACTTCTCTAAGCCTCAGTTTCTTTATCTGCAACTTATGCATCTATAATTTGCCCAAGGTAAAGAGCAGATAAGTTGAAATTTGAACTTGAGATCATTAGACCACAAAGCCTGCAAGTAAACACGTTAGTGTGCCACCTTCCTATTATTTTACTGGACAAATGGGTATATAAAAAATTGTTCAGGGTCTTAACAATAAACTTAAGGTTCCCTAAAAATCCAATAATTATTTTGTTATTTTTTGTGGGGAAAAAAGCTACAAAAAGTATGCCTCTCTCTTTAGAATTAGCAGACAAAAATACAGGATGCCCATTAAATCTGAATTTCAGATACCCAATGAATAATTTTTAAGTTTAAATACTTCCCAGGCAATATTTGAGACATAACCAAAAATCTATTTGTTGTTTATCTGATATTCAAATTTAATTGAGCAGCTTGTGTTTTTTTCTGGCAACTCTATTCTTAAGTTAAGCATTTCAGGGACTTTCCATGCCCAAACAACAGGTGGAGACAATGCCTCTGGGGGTGAAATCCAAGCCTGTAGAGAAGGGATGCCTTCCTAGGACTTCCCAGGAGTCTCTGCTGGGCCCCCTGTCTGAGTGCTAAGGTGACCAGAAGCCCTGCCCCCTTTCTCCCCGAGGTTGCAGTTTGCACCACAATAGGACATTGGTATGCTCTATGCCTACCCACCCTCCCCCCTTTCTTGGGCGTGGGTAGGACTCCTTCCTGGAGAAGGGTCATCTTCATGCACCCTATTTTATCAGCAATAGTTAATAACTACAGTTACACTGACAATTAGTAGACTTAATAGCAATAAGGCAGACTTCCACTCTGTTAGGAATGGTGTCAATCCACATAACAGCTTTGGTTCTATAGTTGCTACAACTATAACTATAGGGTGTGTGTGTGTGTGTGTGTGTGTTTTGGGTCAATTGCTCCTTCCTTTCCCATGAACTTAGATGACTTCATTTTCCTCCTACTGAGCATCTCCCACACCCTGGACATGCTGTCGGCCGTCTCGCCTCAGGGGCTCCTAAACCACTTACTCTGGGTTCATTTTCCTTTACCCAATTTCTACCCTTTGCTAATGTCTTCAACATAAAAGCTATTGTAATTTAACCCCCACCCCCACCCCCACTCATGTTCTCATCCCCCTGTTGTCCATGTCCATTGGCACATTTGTAATACCTTAACTAATAAAGAATTTTTTAAAAAGCTACTGTAATTGAGCACAATAAACAGCAGCTCTGAGTAAACCTATCATCCATAGCATATCTCTATCTGCTGGCAGTTCCCTAACCGCTGCTTTGGTGCCCATCACCCTCACCCACCCCTTCACTCTCCAGGGAGGATCTTCTGTTTAGTTTGTGACAAAAGGATTGGTCCTGCCCTATTGTTCCCACTGTCCTAACCCGACAGGGCAGCAGGAAGCCAGTGCAGGGCACAGGCATCAAGTGCTGTGGCCGGACAAACACGACTCCCCTGGGCACCAAGGGCAGAAAGTCGCAGAGGTGCAGGCAGACTGACTCAGAGGAGGCGCTTTGGCCAGTTTGAACCTGGCACGTTCCAAAGCCTCAGCTCTCAGCTCACAGCGTCCCAATCCAACGTACAAAGTAAACTCTTCATTTCAAAAGTTTCTGAACTGACCTCATCCAGGTGAAACGGAAGGGGGATGGGGGAGGGGAAGGGGAAGGGGGAGGAGAGGGACAGGAGCGCGGCACGCACAGCCCGCGGGCAGGTGCCCAGGGGGTGACAATGGCAGGGACACTGTACCTCTGCAGCAGGCGGCAGCCTTCCGGGAGCCACGAGGGGGTGGCTGGTCTCAGGCGGGTCCTGTCTGCCAACCGCTGAGCTCCCTTCAAAGTCAAAGGGAAAAGCGTTGTCGTCCCTGGACGCCGCGCGGGAGCAGGCAGCGCCCCAGAGGAGCCACAGACGCAGGACCGCACACCAGGCTGAGCTCAGAGCCATCCGGCCGCGGGCATCCAGCAAGGCTTTCGGGGCTCGGCAGACGTTTGTCCTTGCTTGGGACCTTCGTGGTGCAGGAGGTGCTTCTCACTTCATCTTCCCTGCGCTCGCAGAATCCAGATGTGGGAACTCAAGGCAGCCCAAGCAGCAACTTAGTAAAAAAAAAAAGAAAGGAAAAAGGAGAGTGAGAGAGTAAGGGAGTAAGGGAGTCTCTCTCTCTCTCTCTCTCTCTCTCTCTCTCTCTCTCTCTCTCTCCTCATCGTCCCTCCCTCCTTTCCCCCTCCCTCCCTCCTTCTCTCTCCTCTCTTTCCCCACGGTTTGCCTCTCTCACTTTCTCTCTTTCTCTCTCTTCCCAGAGGTTCTGGCTGAAGAACATACAGATGGATGGAACTCAAAGCTGAGCATCAAAAGGCAGACTGAACTGGGCGAGCCCGGCCAGCCTGGCCACCTCCTGTCCCTGCGGGGCTGGACTGAGGGCTGCGGGCCTGGCTGCCTTCCCACGCCCAGCCTCACCACTCCCTCTGTACCTTTTACTCCCGGGCCCTCCCCCTCCAAGCCCGCCTTTCACACACCCGGTTCGGCTCTCCTCCCTCTCAGTCCCGAGCCCCTCCAAGGAACCCAGATGAATATTCAGCGTTTGCCATTGCTTGCTCACATCTCTTAGTTATTTAGCCAAGGTGACTGGCTGTTTTATCTGTACTTAGATAGATCTTGTGTGTATCCCTCTCGGCCTCTAGTTTGCAGGAAAGTGGGTGAAAAGGGGATCCTGGGGGCAGGAGCCAGAGGTAGGTGATTTCAGATGGCAGAGGGGAAGGTTTCTCCTTTTTCAGAGATGGGCCGCTGCACCCTTTGTGCTAATATCATCCCTGGGGGCTGACTGGCTACCCCTCTTCCTCCTGACAGTCCTCATCCAGAGGCTTGGGAGAAGAATATCTTTCACTGCGGCCCTGGAAAATGACTTCATTACTCAAATGCATGAACTTTTATTTACAAAGAACATCTTGTTTTCATCCTAAAGAGGTGCTTTGTAAGGGACCCAGAACAAGGCTTGCAGTGTGTGAGCCTGTCAAATATACTGCCCACAGCCCCGACCTCTTCCTCTGGGCCTGTAATCTCATGCCTACCACATCTGTCTGTAACCTTTCCAAGACTTTGGGGGAGAAATTGGGCTCTAGTTGGGCTGGGGTACCCCCACGGCTGGGTCACTGGCCACAAGAGCTGATAGGTATCTCTAGTCACACTGTCCTCATGATAGAGCTTTAAACATTCCAAGACCAAAACATGACTTACAAAGATTAGATGAGACAGCCATGAAACGATGCCCAGGTAAGTTTCTAGGTGTTTGAAATCACCCACAATTATGCAATGGAGCATTTTCACAAAACCTAATCATTAGCTCTGTTTTATAGAACAACAGTCATTTTCTCTACGGATAAAGGAAACAACAATTTTGTACTAACTGTATGTCTGATATTTGCATAGGTTACTTGCGAACCTCACAGCGTTGCTGCAAAATAGGAAAGTTCTGAGAGGCTAGGACACTTGCCCAGGTCACACAGTTGGGCAAAAGCTGAGCTGAGGTTTGAACCTGGGCCTCACTGATTCCAAACTACCTTTCACATCTATACTGTTTGAAGCTCACAAAATAAAGGCCATGAATTCGGAGGAAGGAGAGATGGCATTCCCATTTTTTAATACCTTCTATGTGGCCCTAAATTTGCATAAAGTATCTCATTTCATTTCATCTTCACTATAATCCCATGAGATAGGTATTATTATACACATTTGGTAAGTGATGAAAGTACTACCAGAATCCAGTAAATCGGATACTAAAGTCACTGGTTTTAAAGGAGAAAATGGTGTGATACAAAAGAGCCAAAACTGGAACAAGCCAAAAGTTTTCATATATTCCAAAACATTTGTAATGTTTTCATTTTAAGATATAAAAATAGTATTGCAATGGACCAGTAAGCCAAAGTATGATCATTTTCTTCCATATAAACTGATTAACCCACTTGATTAAGTGAAAGAACTTAAAAATATGTTTTGGTTATATGAAACATCCAAACCTGTAGAAAACCTGTAGGAAATTTTTGTGAGTTTATTTGAGCCAAATTGATGACAATTTCTCAATGGGTGGAGAAAATACTCGGAAGAATGGCAGTTTTGCAGCTTATTTTGTACATTATAATCAAAGGAAGAGACTTGAGGATTACATGAAATCCATTGGTGGTTGGTGAAGGGGCCCAGAGAAAGCAAGGCTGGGAAACCTCTGGGATTTGATAAAGAGTAAAATGGAGAGTCACATACTACTTTTACAGTGGTGGGTACAGGCTAGTTAATAACATTTACATCACATAGGATTGGCATTTGGAAATAAGATAACAATGAGGGGTTCTGTGGTCTCTGCTCTGGTACAGGGTGTGCCCTGAGAATGTCTGGGGGAGATTACTCTGACATTTCAAAGGTATGTTTGTCTTAGATGCAAAGACAATGCACAGGCTCACCTAGGTAAGATTGACCTTTGTCAAGGAAGCTACAGGCCTAGGATGTAGCTACCTGCCTTGACAGCTTTCAGTTAGGAATTTTCATTTCAGACCATCCTATATGGTTACTTTCAGTTTCTGAGTTAGTAGGGCTCACCATGCTGGCCTCCCCTAAGCTTGTCAGCTTTTGCATGTCACCTCTTTTTCATCCACAGTTGGGTCTTTGCAAAACTTATTGGGAGACAAGATGGCTAGAGTCTGAAGAGGGAAAATAATTCTCAATTATCCTGCCCTACTGTCTCTTTAAAAGAACTGTAAGTAATAATGATGATGATAAATGCTTACATCATATTCTGACGTCAGAGATAGACCTCTTCAGTGTACAACTGCTTCCATTTGTTTTCTGAAGGACTGGGTCCTGTTCTTCATTAACCGTCAATAAATCATACACTTTAAAAAAAAAAAATTTGACACAGGGCCTCCTCTCCCTGTTCACGAGGTGGTGCTTGGATTATGTGAGAGGCTTGGACCTATGGACTTTTTATTTATTTTTATTAAATATATGCTTCTAACTCTTCCTTCTCAGATCTATCATTATTCTTGAGGCAACACAGCATAATACACAGGAGCATGGGTTTTGTATGAAATAATACATTTTAGATTGGCTTAAAGATGTTCTGAGACCTTGACACATAACTTAGTTTCCCTGGATGTCACTTTCCTCATCTGTAAAATGGGGATACTGATACCTCTTCCACTGAGTTAATTATGAATAGTAAATGAAATAATGTAAAGTGTTAACACTGGTTGGCATATAGTCAGTGCCCAATATATACTCTTTAACTATACTGTATTTTTAAAGTCTTAAAAAAGAACAGAATAACTATTTTTAAAAAGAAAAAAATAGCCATGTTTATTTATTCTGTGACTTGGGTAACCTCCCATTTGCTGAAAATAGCCTTTTGCATTTCTGGCTGCTACGTGGGCCTTCCCTGTGTTAACCATGAATGAGGCAGTCACGGACCATAGAGTAATAGGGCGGGCAGGTCAGGAGAGAGCACGGCTGACTATTTTACAGCAAAGAGCTGCCCCCAGACCATCAAAGGCCTGAGTGTGGGAGGATTTCATTCTTGCTAAAACTACAACTGGGGAGTGTCTCCAGGGTGGCTGCTTTCTTATCACAACCCTCTCTCTTTCCTGAGATCGAGGCCAGGCGGTCACCAAGTGCTTTCATGTCCATTATCTCCTTTGGGACTCCTACCCACTCCAGGACCCAAGGAGTCTGCTCCATCATCCCCAATGCATCGTAGAGAGCACCTATTCAGAGAGGCTAAGAGGTTAAATGACAAGGACACTAAGGCAGTTCATGCAAAATGAGGGCCCCACACCTTCTGACACCCAGACCAATGCTTTTCCTGCTAGACCAAGCTATTTTTAGTTTTGGCAGCAGCAGATCTGGTGGCTTGAAGGCTTTATCAAAAGAAGGTTCTGGAATTCCCTTCTGAGTTTCCCGGTACAGTTATCAGCAGATAAATATCAAGTCGGCCCATTTCCTTCAGCACTTGGTTGTTGGGCCTGTCCACAGCGCCCAGGAATCTAGTGAGGGTGTTGCTAATGCATCCCGTGAGCCCTTCTATAAATAAAAAGTCATGTCAGTTGCTATTTTGGATGTTTAGGTGCTAATCTTGGACATAATTAGACAGAGGATTGTTGTGTGTTAGTGACAACAATAGATTGGTCAGAGGAGCAAGCAGGAGCGATTCCCGGCCATGAGATCTCTAGCTGATAATCAAGTGGCAGGAAGGAAGGTAGAAGACAGCGTCTCCTTTTCTGCTCACACTCCTCTCCTCTCCGGCTGAGCTTCTTCTCTCTGAAGGACTCTGGTAGAAGCTCAGGCTCTCTGAGGGGGAGCAGCAGCAAGGGTGCAGGGGGAGGATGGGACCGCCTGAAGGTTGCTCTTCTGCCCAGTATTTCCCCAGGCTTTTGTTCAGGATGTGGATAGTATGTAGCTATCCATGTTCCCTCTCCTGACTGTGACACTGTCACAGCCTCCTTTGGTTTTTAGCATGTTCTCCTTGCATCCTTTCCATCCATCCCTCCATCCATGTATTCATTTGTTTAATCAGTTCTTATTGAACTCAGTATTGCAGGTTGGATGCTAGGGGTAAATGATGAAAATCATGATGGTAACTCTCGAAGAGTTAAGAGTCTGGTGGGACCGATCATAAATAGACCCTGCAAAGAATGCAGAGTAATTAACAGGAGTTCAAAGGGAGAGTCCAGACATGCTGCTCATAAAATGCACAGAACAAGCCCTTTACCTGGACTCGGTTAGGGGGAGTCAGGACAAGTTTCAGGAAAAGGGGGCAAAGGAGGGTGCTCCAGGAAGGAACCGCTTATGCAGAGGGACCTGGTGCCACAGGAGGGGTGAGGAAGCCATGTGGTTCCCAAACATTTTCTGAGCCCCTGTTCACAGTGCACAATCAATGTCTTCGGGGCCGGGTGACCAACCTGTGTGAGAAGAAAGGGCTTCCCAGCCTCCTCCAGGTCTCAGCGCTGCCCTGCAGTCCAGGCCT